GCCGTAATGTGCTTGGTGGGTGGTTATACAGCATTGAGCAGTTATCAAAATTATGCCACCACGAAACCTTGACACGAGCGGTATGGGAAATGAGAATCCGCTCACCTCGATGCGCTTTGTGCCCATAAATTGGCTAATCTTTTCAAGAAAAGCACAGAAACCGTGAAAAAGTGGGTAAGGCTTGCTGAAGGAGAAGAATAAAGCTAAGGTGAGGGGGACCGAAACGGGCGGGGTTTGCCAGCACTTGCAAATCGTTCCCGAGACAGCATTACCTACATTTCGGTCGAAATACACGCCGACGAGCCGGCACGTCATTCAATAAGTTTATTTTCCCTAAATAAATTTCATGGAAAAAACTGCTTTCCCATATCATTCCGGAAATGCAAAAAAACGTAAGCACCCCCAAACTCCCAGAGTCCATGAAAAAATGATTCTTCTTATCCGGAAATCACAACGGATGGTTGAACATGCATTGAACGTTCATGTCAGCAGTAGACATGTGAGAGAGTGGCAGATAAATACACTTCTGTAAGGCCGCGTTCATAGTTCGCGACTCGGGAGATTAGGATAGTAGGCGACAGGATATTAGGATAGTAGTAGAGTAGGAGATTGCGCTGACAAGATTGGATACGTATCGATTGAAATCGCTGGAGAGTAGTAGATTGGGCGACTTCAAGCGAATAGATCAATACATATCTAATCTTGTCAGCGCACTATCCTAATCTACTACTATCCTAATCTCCTACTCTACTACTATCCTACTATCGTAATATCGCAATCTACTACTCTCCAGCGATTTCAATCGATACGTATCTAATCTTGTCAGCGCAATCTCCTACTCTACTACTATCCTAATCTACTACTATCCTAATCTCCCCGTCAATACATATGTTTTTCATTGTCGCGTACTATCCTAATCTCCGGAGTCGCGAACTATGAACGCGGCCTAAGAGTTTATGCCCTTTGAAACATTTTACTTCTTCTTCGTGCCATGGCTACAGCAAGCCACAATATTGCTGACTGTGAAAAGCCATGTCATTTCAGATCGATGGCCGTGGCTCAGCAGGACGTGGATGGAAATATCGAAGTGCAATTTATGGTGTTCTGGGTACGGTTGAGATCTACGACCAGATTGAAGCTTTGAAGTGAGCGCTTTCTGTTCCGCCTAGAAAAATTGCAAATTTTAAACTTCGAAGTTAGGATTTAGTTAGCTTCTCTATCAGCACCTGCTACAAGTGCCTACTGTACCATCATTTCTGATACACCAAACGTGCCTGTTGGCGAGTGTTTCGGTAGAAATGCATAATGCGTGTCACTGGCACACATTGTGAACCAAGTGGGTTGGCACAAGGTTGTCTGTCTTTGTTTTTGGGTAACAGAAAGTGATAACAACTGGTAAGGACTGTGAGATGCATTGAAAAGAGCTGCGAATGAGTTTGATGCGTCGTTCAGTAATCGTACGGCGCTTGACAGCACTTGAACAAATACTGAAGATTACATGAGGAATTGATGTGACGGGTGATAGATAGTGATATCCGATGATTAGGATTGATAACAGCCAACGATAATTAGATGCTTTAACATCTCCTACAGTGCCTACGACTGTTCCACAAACACCAGAGTTTGAATTGTTACTAGAAGCGAGAGGTTACAGCACCCAAAGAAAGGTTGAGATACCTATGCATACCTGGGGCGGGGCTCGACAGACTTGACAAGTAACTTACATTGGGACGGAACGTAGTATCGTATGGTCTTTTTTTGAGCGTATGTAATTCATTCGGAGCACGTACACTTCGGAAAACCGCGTATATTGTTTAGTTGTATTTTTCCGCTCTACAAAACCTTCACATTTGTCATTTTTCTCCACAATTTTTGGAAATCGAAATGTAAGTGTCAATTGTGGAAAATTGAAATTGTAGAAAATAAAAACCACAAAAAAATTACTCGGATATTGTGGTTAGGATCTGGAAAATCCAGCGGCTACAAATCTGCATTTTGACAGCTGTTATTCCTCGGTTTATGTGAAGGAAAAACTCTGAAACGGAACCTCTTCAGAATATTGTTCTTACGAACCTCGCTCTAATCGACCCTAACTTTTCCGCTCAAATCAAAACCATATTTATATCACACAAATCGAGATGAGGGCTCCTAAAACGAGCTTAATATCTTTTTTATTCTAATAATTATAATCTAACGGTGATTTCCTGCGAAATGCAATCAATTTCCTACGTAGTGGCAAAGTGGACTCTGATTAA